GCATGGTTTCTGTCGAGAAATCCGAGCTTAGTCTTATTGGTTGCCCCTTGTAGGTAACTTTTCATTTTTTCTGTGTTGCTCTCATGATTCTTTTTTTGTCTTTGGTTATCCCTTCAATGTTTTTAAACCAGTAAATATAACCCACAAATAGAAAAATACACAAAACCCGTATGTACAGCTAAAGGAATGACTGCAGAACGAACACTTGGGTAGTCGCCATCCAGGTCAAGAAATCTATTTCCAGCCCCAGGAGCTCCTCACAGCCCGTGCCTGCTTCCCAAAGTGAACCCTGCCTGACTCCCAACACGAGAATCTATCTCTGCCTGGGCTGGAGCTTCACGGAGTTTGTTGTCTTCTCTATCTGGCTCCCTTGTCTCCATGCTGCATAGATGGGATTCAGCCACGCTGTTGCCACAAGCTGATGTCTTCCCCAGTGGATTTGGTCTACTCTTACCACTGCTGCCTGCTGGGACCACGTCCAGGGCCTGACAACCGTGGACAGTGGTGCTGTAAACATTTATAGAAGCACTTCATGGTTGCATAAACACACACTAGTTTTTGAGGGGTGGTTTATACCTGGGAGAGAAACCTGGCTGAGTCATCAGCCATGCTAATCTTCACTTTTATTGAACTGCCAGTTTTCCAAGTGGTTGTACCTATGTATACCTGCTAGCCCTGTCTGAGAGCCTGTGGCTTCACGTCCTTGCCAACACAAGCTCATGCTTTTACCCACAATGTGCCACTGGTGACCAAGTTGTGCCATGTCCTGTGCTAGGCATAGCAGGTCCAACACAACACTGTGCGGTGAGGGTCTGAGGCACAATCAGGAAAAAAATCCTCCACTGGCGGGACCTGTTAGAGGCACCAAAAGTACACTTCGGGCTACGGTTTAAAGACTAAAGGAGGGTTGGTATTAACTGAAAAAACATGCTCACCCTTGGTCAACAGACATAGGAGGAGAAAAATAACATGTCATGACTTCACCTCTGAGAACATTCCTCACCAAATAGGACCTGGCATGAGACATGCGTGGAAGGAATGGAATGAGCTCAAGGCTGGGAGTTCCCAGTTCTGGCTCCGGTAATCAGTAAACAAATCTCTCTGATCACAAGCAGGGGAGTCTTGCAATGATCACGAAAAGCAATGAGGTAGGATGCTTTGCCCTGCC